ACAAGGCTGTTGTGAATAGCCCTGTACCATGTGACCTCTGTGATCATTCACAGATTTCACATGTAGTAAGCAATGATGTCAGAAGTGACATCTTGCTTACTACTCTGCCTATGATCACTGATTGGCCAATCAGTGATCACATGATTGGGACCTCACATAGAGGTCCCGTACAGCGATTGGCACCAGATCGCGTTGCCGCACACTCCCAGGGAGCGCATACAGGCTTAAATGGTGGGCACCGTTTATAAACCTGTCCCTGGACTGCCATTTATATACATGTGCCAGACAGGAAGTGGTTAACTTACCTGATCCTTTACTCCCCCAGCAGATGGCGCACCCCCATGCTCTGGTGGTGGACTGTCCCTCAGCATCACCACATCCAATGCAGGGCTATGGACCCCATGTTGGTTTTAATGACATCAGGACCTTAGAGTGCTGCAACATGGAGAGGACGATGTTGTAGGGACGGTCTAGCACCGCTGAGGAGGGGAGGGTCAGTTAAGAAAATTGTATTTATATGTTCTCTAGACCCAAGCCAGCAGTGCAAGGGATCATTTTTAAAAGTAGCAAATAGGGAAGCGCCCCAACATGTAGCAAACGGGAAAGCACCCAACATGAACGAAATGGGGAAGCGCCCCAACATGTACCAAAAGGGGAAGCGCCCCAACATGTAGCAAACGGGAAAGCACCCAACATGAACGAAATGGGGAAGCGCCCCAACATGTACCAAACGGGGAAGCGCTCCAACATGTAGCAACTGGGAAAGCACCTAACATGTAGCAAATGGGGAAGCGCCCCAACATGTAGCAAATGGGGAAGCGCCCCAACATGAACGAAATGGGGAAGCGCCCCAACATGTACCAAATGGGGAAGCGCTCCAACATGTAGCAACTGGGAAAGCACCTAACATGTAGCAAACGGGGAAGCGCCCCAACATGTAGCAAATGGGGAAGCGTCCCAACATGTACCAAATGGGGAAGCGCCCCAACATGTAGCAAATGGGAAAGCACCCAACATGTAGCAAACGGGAAAGCACCCAACATGAACGAAATGGGGAAGCGCCCCAACATGTACCAAAAGGGGAAGCGCTCCAACATGTAGCAACTGGGAAAGCACCTAACATGTAGCAAATGGGGAAGCGCCCCAACATGAACGAAATGGGGAAGCGCTCCAACATGTAGCAACTGGGAAAGCACCTAACATGTAGCAAACGGGGAAGCGCCCCAACATGTAGCAAATGGGGAAGCGTCCCAACATGTACCAAATGGGGAAGCGCCCCAACATGTAGCAAATGGGGAAAGCACCCAACATGTAGCAAATGGGGAAGCGCCCCAACATGTACGAAATGGGGAAGCGCCCCAACATGTACGAAATGGGGAAGCACTCCAACATGTAGCAACTGGGAAAGCACCTAACATGTAGCAAATGGGGAAGCGCCCCAACATGTAGCAAATGGGGAAGCATCCCAACATGTACCAAATGGGGAAGCGCCCCAACATGTACTAAACAGGGAAGCGCCCCAACATGTACCAAATGGGGAAGCGCCCCAACATGTACCAAATGGGGAAGCGCCCCAACATGTAGCAAACGGGGAAGCGCTCCAACATGTACCAAACGGGGAAGCACCCCAACATGTACCAAACGGGGAAGCGCCCCAACATGTAGCAAACGGGGAAGCGCTCCAACATGTACCAAATGGGGAAGCGCCCCAACATGTAGCAAATGGGAAGCGCCCCAACATGTAGCAAATGGGGAAGCGCCCCAACATGTAGCAAATGGGGAAGCGCCCCAACATGTAGCAAAATGGGGAAGCGCCCCAACATGTAGCAAATGGGGAAGCGCCCCAACATGTAGCAAATGGGAAAGCACCCAACATGTAGCAAATGGGGAAGCGCCCCAACATGTACGAAAATGGGGAAGCGCCCCAACATGTACGAAATGGGGAAGCACTCCAACATGTAGCAACTGGGAAAGCACCTAACATGTACCAAATGGGGAAGCGCCCCAACATGTAGCAAATGGGGAAGCATCCCAACATGTACCAAATGGGGAAGCGCCCCAACATGTACTAAACGGGGAAGCGCCCCAACATGTACCAAACGGGGAAGCGCTCCAACATGTACCAAATGGGGAAGCGCCCCAACATGTACCAAATGGGGAAGCGCCCCAACATGTAGCAAATGGGGAAGCGCCCCAACATGTAGCAAATGGGGAAGCACTCCAACATGTAGCAACTGGGAAAGCACCTAACATGTACCAAATGGGGAAGCGCCCCAACATGTACTAAACGGGGAAGCGCCCCAACATGTACCAAATGGGGAAGTGCTCCAACATGTACCAAATGGGGAAGTGCCCCAACATGTAGCAAATGGGGAAGCGCTCCAACATGTACCAAATGGGGAAGCGCCCCAACATGTAGCAAATGGGGAAGCGCTCCAACATGTACCAAATGGGGAAGCGCTCCAACATGTACCAAATGGGGAAGCGCCCCAACATGTACCAAATGGGGAAGCGCCCCAACATGTACCAAATGGGGAAGCGCTCCAACATGTACCAAATGGGGAAGCGCCCCAACATGTAGCAAATGGGGAAGCGTCCCAACATGTAGCAAATGGGGGAGCGCCACAAACACCCCGGGGGATGTAGACGCATATCTACATGTAGCCATAAGGGCTGAAACCAGTTTTTCAGCTCTGACATGTGTTAGAATTCTGTCATCACAATTATCTCATATCCAGGAGGAATACGCCAGGTTTTGTTTTTTTAGGACAAATCAATCCTTCATTTGGGGTAAATAGTCATAGATTTCTCCTGATTCCTCTCTATTATTAGCAGAAAAGTCACCCAAAATAGTACAAAAAAATCTTTTTTTTTTTTTTTTTTTTTTTTTTTTACATTTAACCTGCATATTTCTTGTCATTGCCATAACTCCCCACCAAAATATCAACCCAAAGTATATTCTCCTTCTGATGATGTCAGTGACACCACATACTGTACTGTTACTTGCTTGTATCTGTAGTGCGGTCCGGACACAAGAGAGCCTTTATATCCGACATAGAGCATACCGACACTGACATGTAACAAAACTTCTTGTGAAATCCTACCTGAAACAAACTGACCCTGACCTGGACCCCAACCCTGATACTGACATGGACCCCAACCCTGATACTGACGTGGACCCCAACCCTGACCTGGACCCCAACCCTGATACTGACCCACGTCAATCCCTGACCCTCACCTGGACCCCAACCCTGATACTGACCCACATCAATCCCTGACCTGACCTGGACCCCAGCCCTGATACTGACGTGGACCCCAACCCTGACCTGGACCCCAACCCTGATACTGACCCACGTCAATCCCTGACCCTCACCTGGACCCCAACCCTGATACTGACCCACATCAATCCCTGACCTGACCTGGACCCCAGCCCTGATACTGATCTGGACCTCAACCCTGATACTGACCCACGTCAATCCCTGACCCTGACCTGGACCCCAACCCTGATACTGACCCACATCAATCCCTGACCTGGACCCCAACCCTGTGCTGACCTGGACCCCAACCCTGATACTGACCCACGTCAATCCCTGACCCTGAACTGCACCCCAACCATGATACTGACCCACGTCAATCCCTGACCCTGACCTGGACCCCAACCCTGATACTGACCCACGTCAATCCCTGATCCAGACCCCAACCCTGATACTGACCTATGTCAATCCCCGACCCTGACCTGGACCCCAACCCTGATACTGACCCACATCAATCCCTGACCTGGACCCCAACCCTGTGCTGACCTGGACCCCAACCCTGATACTGACCCACGTCAATCCCTGACCCTGAACTGCACTCCAACCATGATACTGACCCACGTCAATCCCTGACCCTGACCTGGACCCCAACCCTGATACTGACCCACGTCAATCCCTGATCCAGACCCCAACCCTGATACTGACCTATGTCAATCCCCGACCCTGACCTGGTCCCCAACCCTGATACTGACCTGGACCCCAAACCTGATACTGACCCACGTCAATCCCTGATCTAGATCTTTTATCCTCATTTTTTCTCTTGCATAGACTTTATTGTTGACATTGTTCTCTTCTAGCAAGCAGGAAACGACACAGTCAAAGGGTGGGGCTCTTACCATTTCTGCACTGAGTTCCTGGGTCTGTACACCCACTGTGTCCATTATGAGGGGTTCCCACCATCCCTGTGCTGAGTTCCTGGGTCTGCACACCTGGTGTGCCCATTATGAGGGGTTCCCACCATCCCTGTGCCGAATTCCCAGGTCTGTACACCCACTGTGCCCATTATGAGGGGTTCCCACCATCCCTATGCTGAGTTCCCGGGTCTGTACACCCGCTGTGCCCATTATGAGGGGTTCCCACTATCCCTGTGCTGAGGTTCAGCGTCTGTATACCGGCTATGCCCATTATGAGGGGTTCCCACCATCCCTGTGCTGAGTTCCCGGGTCTGTACACCCGCTGTGCCCATTATGAGGGGTTCCCACTATCCCTGTGCTGAGGTTCAGCGTCTGTATACCGGCTATGCCCATTATGAGGGGTTCCCACCATCCCTGTGCTGAGTTCCCGGGTCTGTACACCCGCTGTGCCCATTATGAGGGGTTTTCTTACTGTGGAAAATCCAAGAAATATAAGAAGCCAGGCGCTGACTCCACCTGTAACTATAAAGGTACTATGGGGTGGAGTTGACCTTTAAGAAAAGAATTCTAAGTGGGTGTGTGGAGTGTATGACGGGATATCAGATTACCTGTCGGCTCACCTGCACAGTCCAGGGAGGGGAGTGCAAGCTTCACAGTCCAGGCATTGGATAGAAGGACACAAACGGAATACACAGAGAGAATACACACCCCCAGAGGGGGATAATATGAAGATCTGTACAGGGAATCCACTCCTGGGAGATGACGGAACACAAACACCAGCCGCCACCACATGAGCCGCCACCACACACCACCACTTACCTGCCACATAATTACTGGCTTCATGTGACCTCCTATTACTGGGGACTGTGAAGGGAAATCTAATTGTAACTCTCAGATTTCATATAACAAGAGTTTGTGCAAATGTGATCAGCCAAGAGAAATGCATTTTGTCCTGTAACTGCAATGCTGCAATTGTCAGGATGGTGGGAACCCCTCATAACGGGCACAGCGGGTGTACAGACCTGGGAACTCAGCACAGGGACGGTGGAAACCCCTCATAATGGGCACAGCAGGTGTGTACAGACTCGGGAACTCAGCACAGGGATGGTGGGAACCCCTCATAATGGGCACAGAAGGTGTACAGACCCGGAGACTCAGCACATGGATGGTGGGAACCCCTCATAATGGCACATCGGGTGTACAGACCCAGGAACTCAGCACAGGGATGGTGGGAACCCCTCATAATGGGCACAGCAGGTGTGTAGACCCGGGACCCGGGAACTCAGCACAGGGATGGTGGGAACCCCTCATAATGGGTACAGCGGGTGTACAGACCAGGGATGGCGGGAACTCAGCACAGGGATGGCGGGAACCCCTCATAATGGGCACATCGGGTGTACAGACCCGGGAACTCAGCACAGGGATGGTGGGAACCCCTCATAATGGGCACAGCGGGTGTACAGACCCGGGAACTCCGCACAGGGATGGTGGGAACCCCTAATAATGGGCACAGCGGGTGTACAGACCCGGGAACTCCGCACAGGGATGGTGGGAACCCCTCATAATGGGCACAGCGGGTGTCCGCCCCTGCATAGTCCTGACAGCTACACTCGGTATGCTGTGCAGTATGTTATGTAGACCTCACCCTAAATGTTTTTTTTACTGACATTTTGCACTTGATAAAATGTAGCACTAATATTATGTGATATAAAACAAATGGGAACCATTGTATTCTCCAGGGTCTCTGCTTTCAGAAAATATCTAATATTAGATGGGTTCCAGTAATCTTCAGACCTCACATGATTTTTTAAAATGTGTGCAAAAAAAAAAAAAATGCAAAAATGGCTCTGGCAGGGAAAGGGTTAAAGGGCCAGCCCCCACCAGCAGTGAAGGGGTTAAAGGGCCAGCCTCCACCTGTAGTGAAGGGGTTGAAGGGCCAGCATCCACCAGTAGTGAAGGGGTTAAGGGGCCAGCCTCCACCTGTAGTGAAGGGGTTAAGGGGCCAGCCTCCACCAGTAGTGAAGGGGCTAAGGGGCCAGCCTCCACCTGTAGTGAAGGGGCTAAGGGGCCAGCCTCCACCTGTAGTGAAGGGGCTAAAGGGCCAGCCTCCACCTGTAGTGAAGGGGCTAAGGGGCCAGCCTCCACCTGTAGTGAAGGGGTTAAATGGCCAGCCTCCACCAGCAGTGAAGGGGTTAAAGGGCCAGCCTCCACCAGCAGTGAAGGGGTTAAAGGGCCAGCCTCCACCTGTAGTGAAGGGGTTGAAGGGCCAGCCTCCACCAGCAGTGAAGGGGTTGAAGGCCAGCATCCACCAGCAGTGAAGGGGTTAAAGGGCCAGCATCCACCAGCAGTGAAGGGGTTAAAGGGCCAGCCTCCAACAGCAGTGAAGGGGTTAAAGGGCCAGCCTCCACAGCAGTGAAGGGGTTAAAGGGCCAGCCTCCACCAGCAGTGAAGGGGTTAAAGGGCCAGCCTCCACCAGTAGTGAAGGGGTTAAAGGGCCAGCATCCACCAGCAGTGAAGGGGGTTAAAGGGCCAGCATCCACCAGCAGTGAAGGGGTTAAAGGGGCATCCACCAGCAAAGGGCCAGCACCCACCAGCAGTGAAGGGGTTAAAGGGCCAGCCTCCACCTGCAGTGAAGGGGTTAAAGGGCCAGCCTCCACAGAGTAGTGAAGGGGTTAAAGGGCAATCCATGAACCCAGCTGTGCCATTACCTGGAAGTCTGGAAGGTTGAAGATCAATGTGGAAGGCTTGCTGAGGCATGAATTGTGTCCTCACTATATCCCAGACTGTGCTCCTGGTCTATCTGGTGTTGTAGACATTGCCTGGTCCTCCAGGTCTCTTCATCCATGGTCACCATGAAGGACCTCAGGGCTCCCCTGACCCCTCTTCCATTAGGAAGGTGTAGATCCGGAGAGGTGGTCACAGAGCTGGAAGTCAGGCTGCTCGTATTCTGGAAGTCTGTTTTGCTTTGAAAGTGAAACTAGAATGTGAGTTTCATTTCTCGCCCATAACCTCGGGCTGCTCTGGCTGCGAGACAATACAAACAAAACTTGGCTAAGTCCAGATCACTGACAACAGTTTTCTGGTTCAACCGGGTCCAGGGGCGGACTGACAACTCATGGGGCCCCTGGGCAATAGAGGATCATGGGGCCCCTGTGTCCTTGCCCTAACTCAAAAAAGCCTATGAAAAAGGTACCAGAGGCATCTCATGGGGCCCCCTACTGTGCCCGAGTTTCCAAATGGTCAGTCCGCCCCTGACCGGGTCCCACGTCTGACCACAAAATCTGCCCACCACTTCCATCCTACCATGCCTTAAAGCAGTGTTTCTCAACTCCAGTCCTCATGGACCCCCAACAGGTCATATTTTCAGGATTTCCATTATTTTGCACAGGTGATTTGATCAGTTTCACTGCCTTAGTAATTACCACAGCTGTTTCATCTGAGGGAAATCCTGAAAACATGACCTGTTGGGGGTCCATGAGGACTGGAGTTGAGAAACACTGCTTTAAAGTGATGAGAGAGCCAGGAAAGTAACAGATTGCAGCTCACAAATCCTTAACCACTTCATCTCTGGAAGATTTTATGCCCTTGAGGACCAGGACTTTTTTTTTTGCTCTTCAGAACTAGTGATGAACACAGAGGCATATTTACCACAAGGCAAACAAGGCACTTGCCTAGGGTGGCGTTTTTAGGGGGGGGGGGGGACAGCACCATGGCAACCAGGTGGGATCCAAGAGAGAGTGCGGGCTGCTCCATGGTGTATATAGAGCCTGACTCTTGTTCCCGGGGATGTCCGGAGCTGTGAAGATGAGCGTCTTTCTATCTCCGGGGGAGGGGGGGTAGTGGAAGGCTCTCCCGGGTGGGGGGCAAGGGTGTTGTTGGTCAATGTCAGGCTCTCTCTGCGGGAGGGGGAAGGGGGAGTTGTGTTGTCCGTGGGGGCAGACGATTTTTGTGTTGCCTAGGGCAGCACAAAAACCTAAATACACCCCTGATCAAACACCCCTCTGTTCTGTTCGTGGTCGAATATTTGAACCTAATGAAAGTTCGACCGTGAGCTTCAAACAGAGCGGACAGTTCACTAAGCGGCAGGGGCGGACTGACCATTTTGAAACTCGGGCACTGCCCGAGGGCCCAGGGTCAGTAGGGGGCCCCATGAGATGCCCCTGGTACCTTTTTCATAGGCTTTTTTGAGTTTGGGCAAGGACACAGGGGCCCCATGATCCCCTATTGCCTGGGGGCCCCATGAGTTGTCAGTCCGCCCCTGCTAAGCGGTATCTTCCTGCATCTGGGTATGTGGTGAGTTACTGAATCCGGCATGAGTTCCATGATGAAGTCACGTAGTACTTTATATGTGAGACATTCATTCATGTTGCTGCTGTCAGTGGGGTTCCCGGCTGACCGCTGAATGTGAAAAGAATTGTTGGCATCGCCCGACAATTAAAAAAAAAAAAAAAAAAACATGTGGGCCCCCCCCCCCATCTATACCAAGCCGTTCAGGTCTGACATGGATTTTGAGGGGAACCCCAACACCAACATTTTAAAAGAAAGGTGTGGGGGTTCCCTCCAAAATCCATACCAGACTCTTATCTGAGCATGCACCCCGGCAGGTCAGGAACGGGGGGGGGGGGGGGACGAGCGAGCAGCCCCCCCAATCCTGAACCATACCAGGCCACATGCCCTTAACATAGGGGGGTGCTTTGGCACAGGGAGGGCTCCCCCCAAAAGCACCTTGTTGGGAACAAGGTCCTCTCCCCCACAATCATGGCTAGTGGTTGTGGGGGTCTGTGCGCGGAGGCTTATCGGAGTCTGGAAACCCCCTTTAACAAGGGGGCCCCCAGATCCCGCCCCCCCCCCCCCCATGTGAATGAGTATGGGGTACATGGTACCGCTACCCATTAACCAAAAAAAAAAGTGTAGTGTAAAAGATGACAGGAGACAGTCTTTGACAAGTCCTTTTATTAAAAAAAGTTTTTTTAAAAACCTCTCCCCTGAAGTAGATCCAACGTCAATCACGATGCCCACCGCTGCCGCTACCTGAAAAAAGAAAAAAACACCCCCGCTCCGCTCTCTACAATGGATCCCGCCGTCTGGCAGCCGAGCCAGGATGACAGTTCTTAAATACTGTGATAATGTCACAAGGGGGTGGAGTCACTCCACACAACTGCCACTTGTTTTTTTTTCTCTTTTTCGGACCATTCTCTGTAAACCCTTTAGATGGTTGTGCGTGAAAATCCCAGTAGATAAGCAGATTTTGAAATACTCAGACCAGCCCATCTGGCACCAACAACCATGCCCCTTCAAAGTCACTTAAATCCCCTTTCTTCCCCATTCTGATGCTCGGTTTGAACTTCAGCAAGTTGTCTTCGCCACGTCTAGATGCCTAAATGCATTGAGTTGCTGCCATGTGATTGGCTGATTAGCAATTTGTGTTACAAAGCCATTGAACAGGTGGAGCTAATAAAGTGGCCGGTGAGTGTATATATAAATATATATATATATATATATGAAAAATATATATATACAGGGGCGGACTGATAACTCATGGGGCTCCCGGGCAATAGGGGATCATGTGGCCCCTGTGTCCTTGGCCAAACTCAAAAAGCCTATGAAAAAGGTAAAAGGGCCATCTCATGGGGCCCCCTACTGACCCCAGGCCCTCGGGCAGTGCCCGAATTTCCAAATGATCAGTCCGCCCCTGTATATATACAGTCATGAAGACCCAGGATCGACGCAAATATATATATATGATATATATCCTGTATGTATATGCTCCCAGCACAGAGAACGAGCTTTCACTGACAGCTTTGGGTCTTGTACTGATGATATGCAGCCAAGAGAACCAGCTGCCAATCATGTGATCATTGCGATGACATGACAAAAAAAAAACAATCCAGTGTTTCTCCTTCTGAATGGGGAAAAAGGATACATTGTATCCCAGCCAGAGGAGAAAATGTAAAATAAATAATGAAATACAGAGATAAATAAATATAGAAACACTAATGATAATATTAATAAACAAATATAAAATAGATCAAGGGTTAGTCTAGGGATTTAGTATCAGGGTCAAAGGTCAATGTATTTCTCATGATTTAAAACAAATACAGACCCAGGAACTCAACACAGGGATGGTGGAACCCCTCATAATGGGCACAGCAGGTGTACAGACCTGGGAACTCAGCACAGGGATGGTGGGAACCCCTCATAATGGGCACAGTAAGTGTACAGACCCGGGAACTCAGCACAGGGAAGGTGGGAACCCCTCATAATGGGCACAGTAAGTGTACAGACCTCGGGAACTCAGCACAGGGAAGGTGGGAACCCCTCTCATAATGGGCACAGTAAGTGTACAGACCCGGTAACTCAGCACAGGGATGGTGGGAACCTCTTATAAAGGGCACAGCTGGGTGTACAGACCCGGGAACTCAGCACAGAGATGGTGGGAACCCCTCACAATGGGCACAGCAGGTGTACAGACCCGGGAACTCAGCACAGGGATGGTGGGAACCCCTCACAATGAGCACAGCGAGTGTACAGACCCGGGAACTCAGCACAGGGATGGTGGGAACCCCTCATAATGGGCACAGCGGTGAGTACAGACCCGGGAACTCAGCACAGGGATGGTGGGAACCCCTCATAATGGGCACAGCGGTGTACAGACCCAGGTACTCAGCACTGTTAGTTTCTGGACCCTACTATAGGAACAAACAACCAATATAATGCACATATATGGCGTTGCTGCAAACACCATGAATAGGAACAGTTATGTTGGGGGACTTTTTGGTGGTGGGGTCATGATAATGACAAGAAATATACAGCTGAAATAAAAAAAATCTATTTTCCTTTGATAATAAAGAAAAAACAGTAGATATCCATTACTATCTACCAACAAACGAAGGATTAATGAATTCTGTAAAAACACGATATAGTTGACCTGGACACACACAATAGTTGCGCGATGATTTGTACAGTGTTTTCCTGGCATGTGTCAAACTTACAAAATTGAGTTAAGATTTGTTTTTAACTTCTATCATGAAAGAGTTAATATTATCGCAGGCTGTATGTTATCAGTTCAGCCACTAGGTGGCGTGTTGTGAAACAAATTGTGTTTGTGATGCTTATCCCTCTTTTTTTATTGCTACATTTTTTTGTTTTTATTATTTTTAATTGTTGTTTTTCAGGCCTTCATTGGGTGGTAAATGATAATAGATAGCTCCTGTTTTTTTTTTGGGGGGGGGGGGGGGGGGGGGAATGAACAAAATTGTAAAAAAAAAAAAAAATTTTTTAAATGTTAGCTGTATATTTCTTGCCAGGGGCAGACTGACAACTCATGGGGCCCTGGGCAATAGGGGATCATGGGGCCCCGTCAATGTCCTTGCCCAAACTCAAAAAAGCCTATGAAAAAGGTATCAGGGGCATCTCATGGGGCCCCCTACTGACCCTGGGCCCTCGGGCAGTGCCCGAGTTTCCCAATGGTCAGTCCACCCCTGTTTCTTGCCATTATCATGACCTACCACCAAAGAACAACCTAACACAAATCACCCTACTCCTGATGATTGCAGTGAGGTATTAGTTGTTTGTACCTGTGGTAAGGCCCAGAAACCATAGTTCACACTTTATTTTTTTCCTACCAAAAATACAACACTAACTGACACTGATACTAAATTAAAAAACAACCTTTCTGAAACACACAGACATTGACCTTTGACCCAAACCTTGACCTTGGAATCTAAATCAGTGGTCGGCAAGCCAGGCTCGGAGCCACATGCGGCTCTTTACAAGCTTAAATGCGGCTCTTCTGTGTGCCGGGAACCCAGCCTCCCTCTCCTCTGGGAACCCCTCCTCCTCTCGGACAGGGCGTGTGCCAGGCAGGCTCGCCCCCTCACCTCCCTCCTCTCGGACGGCCGCCCGCTCCCCTCCCTCCTCTCGGGCGGCCGCCCCAAAAGTCAGGACTCTGCAGCTGTCAGGATGTAGGCGGGGCAGCCAGGATGTAGGCGGGGCAGCGTGACGAACTCCTCTCCTCTCACAGTCCGAAAAAACCCTGATAGACCAGAACGGCGCGGGAAGCACGACGAGAGGATTAACGCGCGGAGCAAAGGTAAGTGAATTGACACATAGGGGGGACTTACTATATGGGGGATGAACTTACTATATGGGGGACTTACTATATTGGGGGGACTTACTATCATGGGGGGGATATTACTATATGGGGGATGTTATCATTATACTAGGGGGGGGACTTACTATATTGTGGGGGGGGGGGACTTATCCCCTATATGGGGGATTGCTACTATATGGGGATGAAATTTTTATATTGGAGATTTTTACTATATGGGGGATGAATTACTATATGGGGGGGGACTTACTATATGGGGGGGGGGGACATTACTATATGGGGGACTTACTATATGGGGGATGAATGAACTAAATGGGAAAAAATATGGGAGATGAATTACTATATGGGGGCTGAATTACTATGGGGGATGAATTACTATATGGGGGATGAATTACTACCTTAATGGGGGATGAATTACTATGGGGATGAATTACTATATGGGGATGTATTTTCCAGTTTTGAAAACTGTGGCTCTCAAAATAAATTTCAATCGTGGTTTTTTGCGATTATTTGGCTCAGTTGAAAAAAAAGGTTGCCCTTTGATCTAAATCAAACTGTTCTAGCTGTTTTATTTTTGCTTTTTATTGCATATGATTGCTTTGTTTTGTTTTGTAGACATTCTTCTTCTCTAGCATACATTGCATGTTTTTTTCTCCATTCAAGAGGAGAAAGAATACAGGAATGGGCTGTACAGTGGCTAATCACTGTGGTAGCCAATCACAGGTATCACAGTGGTCATGTGAGTCAATCCTCCCGATTGGTTATATCATAAAAGCTTACCAAAATATTAGGTAAGTCTTTGAGGTTGGGAAATACAATCTGATCTTAGATATTGCAAAGATCTCCCTCTCTAAACACACACACACACACACACACACAAACACTCACACACACACACACACACACACACACACACTGTACACACACACACACACACACACACACACACACACACACACACACACACACACACACACATCACACACGACACACACACACACACACACACACACACACACACACACACACACACACACACACACACACACACACACACAACACACACATCACACTTACACACACACACACACACACACACACAACACACACACACACACACACACACACACACACACACACACACACACACACACACTCCAATCACATTGGGAAGATGTTTCCAAGCCTGAGGCAACACTTTAAGGAAGGCTCTTTTCTGTCCCAGCATGTGTTTGCCTTTCGTGCACAAAGTCAGCTCCGTAAAGACTCCATTGAGATGGTTTGAGGACCTTGCTGTGGATCAGCCTGGGTGGCCTACAGAGATCCCTGACCTAAATTGGACCACAGACTGCAAGTTAGGTCTTCTTGTCCACCGTCAGCGCCTGACCTCACAAATGCTCTTTCAGCTAAAAGAGCACAAATTCTACAGACACACTCCAACATTTTGAGGATGCCTTCCTAGACGTGTGGCTTATAGCTGCAAAAGGGGAAGCAAGCTCTATATTAATGCTCACGGTTTGGGAATGGTATGTCCAACGATGGAGGTGGAACCTCAACCTCAGCTTCATAGAGGTGTAATAGTCAGGTTCTGACACGTTTGGCCATTTACTGTAGGTGACCATGGTTTAGGAAAGATTGTCATTTAACATATACAGTGAAATTTTGCTTTGTTTGAAGATATTCTCATTTGATCTAACACCAGTGGTAGTAAACCTCCTCTCCAGGCAGGTACACAAGATATGGCCAGTTATCTCATTACAACACAAGCGAGAACTCCCATCACGTAATACTATTTATTATATGAAGGAGTAAGACAAAATCCTCCAAAATATCCACTCACATTTAAATACATCTTGTTCAGAGCATTATAAGGAAAAACCTCATGTTATGGGTGTAGTTACATGGGTGTACAAAGATGGCGTCCAAACCGGAAGTACGTCACCGCGTGCCGACGCGTTGCGTCACGTTAGTCACGTGACTTCATCAGGGCTATTAAAGGGACGTGGGTAGTTCTTGGATTGCATGTGATATTCACGTTTGTGATATTTTGTAAAGCACTATCACGCATGCGGTGTATGTGTATGATGTTTGTTGACACTAGTTTTGTTTTTTTAGCGATTTGTCTTTGTTTTTGTTGTTTTATGTGTAAACATGAGTTTTTGATTGTCCTAATTTGGACACACTGGGTACATTGGTCCCATTTGGACCTTTTTTATTCATTTATTATCACCAAAAGATCCAATCAGGATCATTCTTTTGGGCACTATTATGCACTAGTTTGAACTATTTTGCACATTTATATCATTTATTACTATTATTATTATACAGTATTTATAAAGCGCCAATAGTTCGCTCAGCGCTGTACATTACAGGGATCCTATTAGAATCTTTCCACACACGCATTTGTGTGATTATTGAGGTCACTTACTTCTTCACTTGTTGGTTTTCACGTATTTTCCTTCACTTATTCTTGATCCTTGAGAGATCATGGTGTATATTTAGAATTCATAGCCCACAGGCTGTGCTGATTAGATAAGTCACTATACATACTTTGTCATATGTCACTTATTTATATATTTATTTTGTTCATATAAGTTTTGTTATATATTTTACTTCACCAGTGCGTTTTTTTGTTTTGTATTTATGCAGTTCTGTTATTAGTGCTACATCATTATTTTGATAATATAAACAGAACATGCAGCGCTATTGGAAATCAATCATACATGTAAAAGTAATACATTATGAAAAGAGTGATGTGGCGACCACCGCTAAATGATGGCCCATCTAAAACATTCATGGAATGGCATAAATATCTCCAACGAGAGTGTTCTTGTGGTACACAGTGCACAATTTCAAAATGAAGTGGTGAAAAAATTGGTGACTTCCGTGACCATATTCCTCCCACCGAAATGAGTGTAGATTGCGCTAACCAGAAAGCGCAATGATATTGCGCATTTGAGTATTAACCAACTCCTGGTCATCCGTCTACTAAAGCTGAATCCCTGAGAGGGTCATCAGGCTAGCATCAGCTGGGCAAAGTATCCTAACAACAGGATCTCCAGATGTCAGGGGGTGTGCACTCGTCTCACCAGCAGGGGGAGATTAACCGTTCCCAGTGTGGCCACCAGATGGTCCCCAAGCAAGCCTTAAAAGAGGGGGGGCTCGCAAAAAACGAGCCAGAGCAACAAGAAGATCCAATAGTGTAGTACTTTAATTAGCCACAAGAGTAAAAGAACAAGACAATGAATATGCTACTCACATGATATGGTGAGCAGCTG